TCCATGATTAAATTGTCCACCTAAGAGAGCACAATACCATCAAAATTATCCACCTGAGCTACAAATATTCTCCATCAGCTTTATGTCTACTGACTAAGATCAAGTAGTGTAGCTCATGATGTTTACTTGTCTTCATTTTTGATTGTTCATTTCCTTTATCATATTTTATTCGTCATTTAACATATTAGAGTACTGATATCTTTCCTGCTTTATGAGTGTCCTGTGCTCCTTCCGGTTATTTTCGTGATGCTATATCTCCCTTCTCTTGAATATTTGTTTAGATCATGCCTTTCATCTCACCCCAGGAATACGCTCATTCTCCTCTCATTCATTATGGAAACAGCTTTGCTGCCTATATTCTCTTCGTTGACGATAAGTCTAAACACAAGAAATATTTTACTCTTTCAAATTTTACTAAATTACTAATGATGGTTAGTGCCTAGCAGTGGAGTCTATGATGTGCATTTCGTCCTATTTGGGACTCGTCAGTTGGATGCACCTGCCAGCTCCCAGTAATTGATGCTGTCCTCACCGGGGTTCGGAATCGATTAGCGATCGCTCCAAACGTAAGAACATTTTCCACTAGACCACTGAGCCACGATAGCCACTTGTTGCCTGACGAGTATAGTTTTAGTATAATTGCTTGTATTGTATACTGTGGTTGATTAGACAGATTTGATCTGCCTCTATTGACATATGGGCTCCTGTACGGATGCCTCGATATACCTGTGTTCTAATCATAGTAAAGATAGATAGAAGCACTCACACAGGAGCCCATATGCCAACAGAGACAGATCAATTGTGTCCGGCCAACGACGGTACAATACAAGCGATAATTCTATTTACTAAACTACGATAAGCAACTGAAAGAAGCAACTCAGTCATGTTACACTTTGAATTGACCGGGCACCTTCATTTCTTTTCATAGTTTTATTCATCTTTATTCTGCATCGAAAAAGGGAGAAGGCTTTTCTTGCGTTTCTCCAATTTCCAAGGTACTTCTGGTGGACATTACACCCTTTCCCTTTAATTAGTCTGTGTGGTTGATAGAAGGTTGACATATTTCGCTGACAATATTTTTTCTTTGGTGGCCAAATCAATTAGAGGAATTGTAAAACTTTTTTTGAACACAGAATTACTTTGGTAACTTTGGTAGTGTCCAGTGGATGCAGATATAAATTATGTGGAACGTTTTTTGTGAGTGATAAATAATTATGGAAACGTTTCTTGTATCCACCATATAGGCAAGTATTTGTCCTTTACTCAGCTATGATGCGTGGTGCTAGGAATTTCGGTCATCCACTGGTCTAATTATTTTCCTTATATAACCGACAAATGCACATGGTATCTTACTATTCATTGATATACATGTAATCCTCAGTTGTTTTGTTGGATCCAATTGTTCGACCAAACAAAATGCACATGTAATAGGCTGAATCAAGAAGTTCATCCTTAATCTTTCCATCTGTTTGGCCTACTGTAGAGAATTTGACAGTGTCTCAGTAATGAATGTATCGTTAGGTGCTCTTTTCAAACACTATCTCACCAATGATGCAACCTATGAATCCAAGAGGAAGTTGTTTAATGAACATGTGTTTCTCAATGTAGGCTTCATTATTCCATATTAGATTTGTCCATTTAATATAGCAGTTTTTTAGCATGATTTATTGTTTACAATCATCTCAAAGGAGTGACATAATTTTCTGCTTTGAGTCTAGTAGCCCTATTGTGTTTCACTCATTTATTTGGTGATAAAATTTTCTACATATATAGAATCTGTGTTGCATCTTTTCAATTACAAGTGTTAAGCATTGAACTGATGAACATAGATTCAGTATGATGAACGTCTATCTCCACTTAACTACAATAGGTCACAGGATTGTAACTCTGTGTCATTTTGTTGTGTGATTTTGTGCTAGCGTATGCATATTGATGACTGAATTCTTCTCTAAATTAGTCATGTTATTAGGCTTTGTCAATGCAGACTCAACTTGGTTTCATTCGGCTTGTTTGATCTATGTACTCGACCTCACATTCAGTAAATTAAATCATTCTATCCGATTAGGTCTCTATAATCCTTGATTCAAAACGCTTGCCTCTGAGATAGTTTGTAGGTTTGAACTTAGTCTCAACTCCAGCCTTTTTGAGAGTTGTACCTAGGGATTCTGATTTCCTATCATTATATAGTTACACTAAAGAGATCTTGAATTTCTTCATATTCGTGTTGCGATCATGATTCATATCACTACTTGATTTTTTCATCATAAAATGTCATAGATAACTAAATATCCATTCATCTATAATAAAAATAAACAAACCAAACATAACTGTAATATTAATTTTGATGCTGAACATTGGAAGATGTTAGTCACATTTCATGACAGGAATTTGCCAGTCAGGTTGATTAATTATGGCTTGGTTGTGAAATAAATGGTTCTGTTAGTACTGTTGAGAATATTGATTATCTATAATTTCATTACTGTCTCATTTCTCATGTTTATTTATCCGATAAATATTGATATGCTACAGTACATTGACTGGTCACTAAAGAGTAAACAATTCCATATTTCATAATCCAAAGTGTTGACTAAGTTCTATCCACTACATGTTACTGTATAATATTCACTATGAGACGATAACAATTTCGGTTTCAGGGTTAAATTTTTTTTCTGTCAAAAGTTTTCACTTACTATTGGGTTTCTAAGAATGCGACTTATTTCTTACCAGTGAACTGCAATTCATTCGTTTAAGCATTTGACTTTGAGCAAGTAGATTTAAACCTGTTCCATCTATTGAGGTTTTGGTAGCCAGGTAGTATCATTAGCCTTTATACAACAATGTGTCGATAATTGCTTACCGCACAGAGCTGCATGTGGTTTATGAATGGATTTTGATTTCGTAATAAATGAACTTGGAAATATTTGTTTTAGGCGCATGTTATATACGCTTAACATTGTATCATTGTGGAATACGACAGGTAATTTACCAATAAGTGGCTTATTTGTAATGATAAGCACCAAAACATTAGAAATGATACAGCAGACGGTTTATCAACTTGAAGGATAGTTTTATAATGATAGATAATGAAGATAACTGGAATGGATATTACATTTGTGTGGACCTGAAAGACATATGATAGGGATTTGATAGCTGGGTGAAATAAAAAACATCTTAGCAATCCACTATAAATTTTCACAGATAAGTGAAGATGAATATAATAGCCAAAATTAAAGTTAATGAAGGAAAGATGACGATTATGTTGTATAAAAACATTCTTATAACTTGAAGGCTAACAGATACCTGTGCAGATACAGAAGTAGATGAGAAACGGCCTGGCATAATTGCATGATATTTCCAGTTACTACACATCAGCATATAAAGAATGAAGAGGAGAAGAGGAAGGGAAATCAGTTAAAAAATTTATGTAAACAGTATTCAAAATATCGTCGAACAAGAAATTATAATTAGACACACAAAGATATATTAATGTTCCGATGAAAATAAGTCATTTATTCGTCTGCTTGACTGAAATCCACTTTGAATATTTTTTTCTAGAATCCATCCTAGTTGTCAAATGAACTTCAGTCAGAATATCTACAATTGTCTACCCTATTCAGATCAGCCATGGGAGACTTCAAGAATTATTCCATCTTATTATTTCTTTTAGTACATTTGTAACCTAATGCTACTTCCGCAAGAATTGGAGAAGATAAGGAAAAGGTAGTCGTAATATATGTTTCAGATATCATAAAAGATGAAGACAGAAGTAGTTCTCTCATTTTAAATGATTAGAGGCAGTTGGGGGGGGGGACCGGTAAATCTAAGTTTCGTGTCTGCTGGCACTTGTCAGCAGGGCATATCTGTTACCTTGAGAAAACTGATATCTGTTGAGAGATGCCAGCCCACCTCGCTTAGTGTTGTGTTGAATGAAGTTCAATATTTTGATGCTTTTAACCGTCCAATCAACCAGCCAACACAATCAGGTATAGACACAGATAGTTTGTATTAAAAAAGGTGAAGAAAGCATCTGAAACATTACCAAGTTGTTATTCACAGTAAAAAGAGGAATAAATTTCAACGACTGTAACTTCTAGAAGCTTTTAGTCAGTTACGAAATATTCACCAATAAAATCAATGACTTTCAAGTTGGAAGAAGAGTACATATAAGACAAAGTTAAATGAATGCTGCAAGGGCAGTTATGCTAAATGTATACCACCCAATATAATCATACTACCAGATAATAATAATATCTAGCACAACCGATACACAGAGAAACAAAGGAGTAAAAAGATGATTTCACATATAAACTCTTATTAGCATAATATGTTTATCACTTTGGTTATTGTTTCTCATGGTATCCAATGTTCTTAGTCATTTCTTGACTTGAATATTATCAACCTGACACTTCAAATTTCATTCAGTTACTTGACCAATAGGATTTTTTAAAGCATTTTAGGTGTGAAAACTTGTCACATTCTTTGAATCTTATTGGGCTGAATCTGTGTCATAACTAGCTATAGAAGTGAAATTCTGGACACATGATTTTCGTTTGTCAGTTACTTATCAATCCTTTTTACATTTGCATCAACATATTCGACCTGCAACATATACTGCTTAACAAAGAGCTAAAGTTTCTCATCTCAGTTGTTTTACATGTTCTTGTGTCTGAAACTGTGTTCGTTTATGTTACAAACGATATTTAAGTAAACCCAGTAATCGATAACTTGCTTTGTGACACAAAAATATATCATTTCAATTGACATAATGAATTTTAACGAAAGAAATTCAGTTTTTACTCCACAAATCAAATATTTACTTCCTAACAGCCCATGCACACTAAAAACTTAGGTTCCACCTAACCAATATCCTATAATTTTGAAATGAAATCATTTCTGTTTCAAGGTCATAAGCGTAACCAACCAATCAGCAATTCATAGGTAAACTAAAAATGTCTTTGACTTGAGAATAATCATTTGCTTACCTTTCACTTGATCAACAGACGCTTTCAGCAATGGAAATTTGTGTAAAGAAACGAAGAATTGTATTGATGCCTATCGATGGTAGTGGACATTCTTTACGTGCATTTCAATGGTATTTAGATAACCTGAGAAATGAAAATGATGAATTACATTTCGTCTTAATTATTCAACCTATTTTCGCAACACCAACAATTGAATTGGCCATGGCTTCACCTCCAGTAACCGACATCATGCAATCAGTGCAAGAGAACATTGAAGATGGGAAAAGAATTTTGAAAAAATACTTACTGAATGCAAACAATCTTGGCATTGTCTGTCAGGCTTTTATCCATGTAGGTACTAAACTTGGCTCACTACTGGTGAAAATATCTCAAGAACAAAAGACAAATCTTATAGTTATGGGGACAAGAGGACTTGGAATAATTGGTCGTACAATACTGGGTAGTGTAACAAACTATGTATTACATCATGCTAAAACACCACTAGTGGTCGTACCTCCTCCAGTAAAACAATAGATTATGCTAATCAGTAACGTTTTAATCCTTATCTAACTGGTGGTAATTTTTAACGATACTGTATGTCATTGTTTGCATATACGAATATAATTTCTTAACTGATCATTATTTCGTTCTATTTTACAAACATCATCCTAGGACCGGAGTATACATCTGCATTTCTGGATATGTATAAAGAATTTCAAAGCTTTTTTCAAACAAACAGTAGGAAACTAATATCTCTGCTAATAAGCTCATATGATAGGGTATAAGTGTGGTCATATCATTTGAAAGGTAGATTGATATAAATCAGTGTAAACGAAGCGAGTATTGTAAATGAACTGCTTGCTATACAATACCAAAGTATTTTTTGTGATTGAGCCAAGTTGAATTTTTTATATCCAATTGACGCCTCATACAGGTGTTCAAAGTGGTTCCCTTGTTTTTCCTCTAAATTTGTATCGAGAAAAATAGTATCATATTCGATATATTCTATCAAAAAATATAAGCGGTTAGAAAACACTCGTACTGTATCACCTAGCCAAACCTAGAGATTAGCGTGAGTGATTTTTAACTGTTCTTTTTTTTCAGTAGTATATTTCGTTAGTCTATAACACTTTCTGTCAGAGATTGCACTTTCTGACCTTGGTTAGGTGTTTTCTAATGGATTCCTGGTTGAAACCATAGTTGACCAGTGGAAAAATAAATCAGCCGTGAAAAGCATTAAGGTGAACCATTCAATTTGTAAGTAATTTAAAATTATTATTTTTATTATTAGTCCCTTGGGTTCCTAGTGGAACATAGGGCTTCAGTAGCACGCCTCCAGTGACCTCTGTTCTCTGAGATCTTTAGAACCTGGTTCCACGACAGCCCAGAAGCTCTCATTTCCTCTTCGCACGATCTCCTCCATGTCACCCTCGGACGTCCAACTCGTCGCTTCCCATGGGGATTCCACTCGAGTGACTGGCCTGACGCGTGATGTCCTCAGTCGGCCTTCTCAGTGCATGCCCAATCCATCTCCACTTCCTCCTGCATATTTGCTGCGTGATAGGTTCTTGGTTGGTTCGTTCCCAGAGCATCTTGTTGCTTATTCTTTCTGGCAATCCATCTGATCTTCAGTAGCGAGCAGCGTAAGCAGTTGTTTATGAATGTCTGTAGTTTATTGGAAATCCCTTTCGTGACTCGCCAAGTCTCTCAACCATACAGAAGCACTGACTTGACTGAATTGGTGTTGAAAATCCGTATCTTGTTCCACATGCTGAGTGCAGAAGATCTCCACATTGGTTTCAGGCTAATGAACACCTGTCTTGCTTTTCCGATTCTGACTTTGACGTCCTCGTCTGTCCCGCCTGTAGTTGAAACAGTGCTTCCTAGATAAGTGAAGGAGGTTACTTCCTTTAAGTTTCTCCCGTTGATGGTGATTGGAGTTTGTTGTTGTTGTTGAAGTTGTTGATTCGGTATCTTCATCACCTCTGTCTTCTCTATATTCACCTGAAGTCCCGTCTTCGCTGCCTCTTCTGCCAACTTGTTAGTTTTCGCCTGTAGATCTTCAAGTTTATGTGACATCAGGCACAAGTCATCGTTGGCGAAATCCAAGTCTTCTAGGTTCTTTTCCGCAGTCCAGCAGCGTATCCCCCTCTTCTCTCTCCCCACTGTTTGCTGCATGATCCAGTCCACCACAATAAGGAATATCATGGGGGATAGTAGGCAACCTTGTTTCACTCCTGTCTTCACTTCAAAAGCATCACTGAGCTTCCCATTGTGAATTACTTGGCATGTGGCATCTTCATTTAGTTGTTGAATGAGGCGGATAAAGGTTTGCGGTACTCCGTAGTAGTGAAGCAGCAGCTGCCAAATTACTTCTCGGTCGACGCTGTCAAGGGCCTTCTCAAAGTCGATGAAGTTGAGGTAGAGAGCTGATTGCCATTCTATACTCTGTTCTATGATGATGCGAAGCCTTGCAATTTGGTCCGTGCATGATTTGTACTTCCTCAATTCAACCAGCCGGCTTGTTCCGGTCGTAGTTTTGAATCCAGTACATCTTTAAGCCTCTCCAGAATGATGTGGCTTAATATTTTGCTTTCTTTGGGTGGACAGGAGAGTGATTCCGCACCAGTTCTTGCAAACACTGAGGTCTCCCTTCTTCGGCAGTTTGACAAGGTAACCCTTCTTCCAATCACTAGCCAGGTACCTTCTCTTCCTTCCACACCTTCTGCAATAGTGGTGTGGTGTGAGCATGTCCGCTGTTGTCTCTGCATCTGTTCTCAGTGCTTCTGGCGGTATTCCATCTGGTCCTGCTGCTTTCCCGCATTTCAGTAGGTTTATGGCTTTCAGGACTTCCATTTTCGTTGGGGGATTTATGTTCACTTGTAATTCAGCGGCTGTAGTTGGTATTTCTGGACGAAGTGTAGGTGGTGGTCGATTCAAGAGCTTCTTGAAGTGGTCGGCCCATTGTTTCCTCTGTTTCTCTTCTTTCGTAATTAAATTTCCTTCTTCGTCTTGTATTGGTTTCATCTGTGTTGATCTCTTCCCTGATAGCAACCAGGTTATTTGATACAATGTCGTCAGGTCTCTCTTACCTGCAGCCTGTTCTGCTTCACTTGCCAGTGTTTCATAGAAGTGTCTTTTGTCTTTGCGTGCACTCTTCTTCACTTCTTTGTCCAGTGTAATGTTTTATACTTTGTGCTCAGTTCCTCTTGTCGTTGAGCGTCCTTGCACTGGTTTATCTTCTGTTTCACCATCCTCCTCTCCTCTATCAGCTTCCAGGTATCAATCGAGATCCATTCCTTGTCTTCTTTCTTCTACCTTCCTAATACTGTTGTGCAGGTTTCTTTCCACATAGCTTTCAAACAGTTCCAGTGTTTTTCCACACAGGTTTCTTCAGGGATGTTCCTCGATATCTCCCGTTTTGTCTTGATGACTGCCTTGAAGATCTCCTTTGTAGTTTCATCCTTCTGTTTCTGTTCTGGGTGTTGTACTTGAGTTGAGGTCTATCACCAGCTTCCTTGAAGGCTTTTAACTTGATTTGTAAGGTTCCTTGCACTAGATATTGGTATGAACCTACATCTGCTCATCTTCTTGACCTTGTGTTAAGTAGACTGCATCTCCATTTTCTTGAGATTGAGATAAAGTCGATCTGGTTTTTAGTGTGCCCATCTGGTGAAATCCATGTCACTCCCATTGTGGATATCCTTGTGCTTGAACACACTGCCTCCAATCACCAAATCGTTGAATGTACAGAATTCTGCAAACAATACTCCATTCATGTTCATTTCACCGAGTGCTTCTCTACCCACAACCACTTCTCTTCCTGTGTTGTCCGCTCACAGTTTGGCATTCATGTCAACCCAACCATTAGAATTTTGATATCGTCTACTGCGGTAGGTCTTGTCCAGTGTTGATTGCAGTTGTCTGTAGAATTCCTCCTTCTTCTTTTGCTCTGCATTATTTGTAGGTGCGTAGCGTAGCATTGTGTGATTGTGACTTTCCTTCCTTTTGAGTTGAACCTTGCTGTCATGATCGTGGAGGAGATTGATTCCGACTGCATGAGAGCGTCCTATGCTCTTCAAGGGGACACCATGATAGCCACTCCAAAACTCAGTGTGCTCGTGGTTGGCGTCTGGGTGATAATATCGAAGTAGATTATTGACTTCTCTCCAGTTGACAGTTTGGAGAGTCCACTCCCATTGCATCTGCTTTCGCAAATCCCAAGCACTTCGATGTGATACCTTCTCATCTCCTTTGCAATCTGGGCTGCCTTACTGGGTTCAAACATCGTGCGAACATTCCATGTCCCCACGTTTACTTTCGCTTTCATCGAGGGAGAGAAGACACATCGGCCAATTGGCTTTCCGAAGACTTTCACCAACCAGCGTCATTTCGCCTCTCCGATTCCAGTGAGGAATAATTTTGTTTTCATTTTTTATATATTGTTTGTGCTTTGAAGTTTCTTTAGCGGTTAGATTTGTATTCCGGGGTAGGGTTGCTAGCCCTATGCCCAACCTTTCCTCTTTACCCGGGCTTAAAACCGGCAAGTAACTAGTGAACTAGTTAACCAGGCGAGGTTAATTTAAAATAGTCATGTAATTTAATATACAAGATTCGATCAACTGTAAGTACATCCGTTCCATTATCATGTCTCCGAATACGGTTAAAATATGATACTGTAATAACTAAATATCTTTCGATAAGATGGCAAACACTTATTGTCTTTAATTTTTTACAAACAAAGATAATTATTCAACTATGGAAACATTCTTAAACCACTTCTTAGACAATCATAAATAAGTTCAACTAATCAGTTGTTATTCTCGTGATCCTGATCGAAAATGAGAAGACTTGAAATAATTGTCCGCTTTTTACAGGGCAGAAAACCGCAGCGAATATTCTTCATTTTACTATCACTTATTGGTACATACTGAGAAAATATTTCAACTCAACAGAGCAGCTGATTACAACCATTTATTACAGTAAAATCGTGGCAACATTCGACTGAAACATCAGTACAAACATTTGAAATAAAACTCCATTAACTAACGTCTGTCCCGAAGAGGGACGACCAAAGATTTGCAAGAACTGGTGAGGGATCATACCCCACTCATGTCTACCTCAAGCAAAACATTAAGCCGCATCATTCTGGAGAGACTAAACGATGCGCTGGATTCAAAACTACAACCAGAACAGACTGGCTGGATTCAGGAAGAACAAATCATGTGCCGACCAAATTGCAACGCTACACTACGCATCATCATAGAACAGAGTATAGAATGGCAGTCAACTCTCTACCATACCTCAACTTCATCCAATTTGAAAAGGCCTTCGACAGCATCGACCGACAAGTAATTTGGCAGCTGCTGCTTCAACACTATGGAATACAACAAACATTTATCAATCTCATTCAACAACTATATGAAGACACCACATGCCAAGTAATTCACAAGGCTGTCTACTATCACCTATGATGTTCCTGATTGTGGTGGACTGGATCATGCAACAAACAGTGAGGAGCGGTGAGAAGAGGGGATAGGCTGGACCCGGGAAAATATCCTAGAAGATTTGGATTTCGCTGATGATGATGATGATTTATGTCTAATCTCACACAAACTCGAAGATCTACAGGTGAGAAC